GGTTTTAGGGCTTAGGGTTTTGGGGCTTAGGGCTTTGGGTTTAGGGTTTTAGGGTTTAGGGTTTTGGGGTTTAGGGTTGTTGGTTTTTCAGGGTTTGGGAACCCGCAAGCTTAAAGCTGTCCTTGCAGGAGCACCGACCTCAGATCGGACACAAACCTTGACAGGGCTCCCTTAGAGTTGAGGGTTGTTCTGGGGTTCAGGGTTTTAGGGTTCTCGGGTTTGGGCTCCATCAGCGGAAGAAGCCTGAGAAACAAGCAGACAAAACTTGTATTCGGGAGCCCCCACATGCGAGCCACCCAACACCAAACATCCTCCAAACCTCTTGACCCAGTGGCTTCAAATCTAATATAGGGGCCTGAATACTTAGTGATTCAGGCTTCTATAAATTCAGTATCAAGCCAACAACATCAAACCCGCAACACTCTCCCCCCCATCAAAACCGAAAGGCTAAATGCAGATTACCGCCACAAAGCCCTACAAAAACTGCTAGAGTCATATAGTGCGCCTATACATCTTCAGAAGATCTAAACTCCAAACCCCAATCCCCAAACCCCAAACCCCTACTCCCCAAACCCCAAACCCCCAAAACCCAAAAAGACCCAACCCTAAACCCCAAGCAATATTTTATCCTTAAAGCCCTATGAACCCTAAAGCTGTTGTAGATCCCTGATAGATCCTTCAAAAGAGCCCTCATAGCATCCTTTGAAGAGACCCCTAAGCCCCAAAGGATCACAGCCCTATAAACCCTACACTGCTATAGATCCCTTAAAGGAGCCCTAATGCATCCCTTGTAGGAGCCCTTATAGCCCTCAACCCTCAACCCTCAACCCTAAACCCTCAACCCTCAACCCTAAACCCTAAACCCTACACCCTAAACCCTAAACCCTAAACGCTAGACCCTCAACAAACCCTAAGCCCCAAACCCTAAACCCTAAACTTCAAAGGATCACCGCCAGGCCTCAACTTCAACTTCGCCCTTTCGAGGCAGATCCAGGTCTCCGAGGCCTCCTGATACGCTTGTCAACGACCTAGTCGTACCCAAAGATTAGGGTTTAGGGTTTATAGGGTTTATAGGGTTTAGGGGTTTAGGGTTTAGGGTTTAGGGTTTAGAGCCCAATACCCCTTAATCAAGGAGTATATCTTGAGTTATAGTGGCCTTAATCTTATGATTTAGGGTATGTTTCTTAATTTAGGGGTATTGGGCTCTCTGGGTGGTACCCTAAACCCTAAACACCTGGTAGTACCCCAGACCCTAAGCCCTCGCGTTCAGGGTCTACATAGTAGTACACTAAACCCTAAACCCTAGGGTTTAAGGTCTACCTAGTAGTACCCTAAACCCTAGGGTTCAGGGTTTACCTAGTAGCACCCTAAACCCAAACCCTAAACCCTGGGGTATAGGGTCTACTTTAGGGTTTAGGGTTTAGCGTCAACCTAGTAATACCCAAAACCCTAAATCCTAGGGTTTAGGGTTTAGTCTTGTGGTAAAGGTTTGTTGTTGTAGGGTTCAAAAAGGGTTGTATAAGGGCTTATAAGGGTTCTTGGTATAATCCGCATATGAGCGGAATATACTCCCAGAGGTTGGCCTTTAGTTCCACCCCGGGTTACTGGACAGGTACGACTAGGTTTTAGGTTTGGGTTGCGTGGGCCCGCCGTTTGCATACCTGCTTTCGTATGTGCCCATGTGTGTAGTTCTCTGAATCGGGGTCCCTTTTGAGGTCCCGAACATGATACGGCACCCGGATCTACTTTAAAGAGGACCCCCCAATTTAGAGAACTACTCCTGTGCGTATGTATGCGCCACGAAGCCTTCTCGGGGACCCCGCACTCCAAGAGCCTGGATCCTTGCAGCCCCGGCACCTGCACCTAAACCCCAAACCCTAGACCCTAAACCCTAAACGCCAAACCCCTAAACCCGGGTGTGCGGTTTAGGGCTTAGGGTTTAAAGTCTAGGGTCAGTACTAATGCCCCAAGCTATCACGAACATCATGGCTGCTGTAGTTGCTCAGCATGAGTAGATTTCTTCTTGTGAAAGCACCGTGCTTGCTGTCAAGATAGTTAACTGCCCTAAACCCTAAACCCTAAACCCTAAACCCTAAACCCACATCAGTTCCCGCTCCTTCGACTCCATTTGGCTCTTTCAGCAACACGAATTGGCGGTCTAGTGCGAGCGCCGGCACCCTTCTCCAGCTGCAACCTGCAGGATCCCAAGCCTTAAACCCTAAACCCTCAACCCAACCTAAAGACATCTAGGCACCTCTGCCCTTCTGCAATCCGAGCTGCCTAGCCTGAGTGGAGACTCCAGAAACCTAGTAGGATCTTTTGTCCAGGGCCTAAGTTGAGGGTTTAGGGTTTAGGGCCGTTCAGTTTTAGGGTTTAGGGTTTAGGGTTTAGGGCCTAATAGGGTTTAGGGTTTAGGGTTTAGGGTTTAGGCTTACGGCTTTTTCGGGTCTATAGAGACTCCGCGGTGCTGCTTTGAAAGCAGATCCATCGCACTCCGGAGCTGCAGTGGCCGATTTTGAGCCATGCAGGTGCCATGTCTGGGTGGGTTTTGGGATCCCCTTATAGTCCTTAATATAGTGGGATCCCCTTATAGTCCTGAATATAAGCAAAGTAGCATATACCCCCAAACTCTATTCCAAGCTTTCAGGATTCGGGCTTAGGTTTAGGGTTTAGGGTTTAAGTCAGGGTTTGGGGGTCTCTGCAAATCAGAAGTACATGCCTGAAGTCATATCAAGAACCCCCCTCCACGAGAAGGTCTTTTCTTCGGGTCAGGGTCCGAGAGGGGCGTGTTGGAGCTCGGGAAGATTTATCGGGATCTGTAGGCTGGCAGCACTGCCAAGGCGGCCCAACAACCTGGACTAAGGGCCCTGCTAAAGTTCTTATATATATATACGTATATTAGTATTGTGTATGTATATATATATATACACAATATTTAATATGTATGTATGTATGTATGTATGTATGTATGTATGTATGTATGTATGTATGTATATATGTATGTATTTATGTATGTATGTATGTATGTACGCACACCTATGTGTGTATATGTATATATTACAGGTGCAGGGCTGGAAGGGTGTCAGGATATGGGTTTGGGCATTCTGGAGGGTTTGAGTTTTCCATTCACCCTTGAGTTAGGGCGTTCAGGCATCGTCGTAGCTAGGAACTCAAGAACTTCATGATGTGTTTGATCACGTAACTTATGCCAGGCACCACGAAGGTTTATCTCTAAACCCAAAAACCCAATGCCCTAGACCCTCAAGCCCCGAGCCCTGAATCTAAACCCTGAAGCCCTAAACCTAGGGTCCCACCCCTGACCACTCTAAGCCTCCGAATCCTACACCCAGGTCTGACGGTCTTCCTAACATAGGGGTTTAGGGTTTAGGGTTAGGTTCCCCAGTAGTACCCCTTTGCCTTTTCCTATTTGACGGCTTCTTTTCTAAACTGATTACCTTGAAAAGGGTATTCTCATTGTTTTGGGGACATTGGGGAGCCTAGTAGGGGTTCGAGAGAATCAGCACTAACATGTTTTGCTAGTCGAAGTATAGTATGCCCCAAAACCCATATTCTTAAGGCCCTACATGAATGTCTCCCTTATGTCCCGGCTTCGATATACCCAAGCCCCATGTAGCCCATAAAGTCCCAAACCCTGAAACCGAATTGTTCCTAAACCGCAAGCTCCAAACCCAAGGCCCGAACCTGGGCCCGAAAACCGAAACCCTAAGCCTAAGCCCAGAAACCCCGAAATCCTACACCCTCAACCTTGATCCCGAAGCCGTCCCCCTGATGGTCTTCGTTTGAAACTAGACGGTTTAGGGTTTAGGGTTCAGTCAGGGACGTTTCATTCTGTGCAGCTTGAGCCCTAAACCCTCGCGCTACACCAAGCAACAGCTTCAACAGGATCCTCCCTTCCCCGGGCCCCTCCCCCTAAACCCTAAGCCCTAAACCCCCCAAACAAATGACACCGAATCTTAAGAACCCCCCGCCCCGCCCGTAAAACGGAGTTCTCTTTTGGAAGCAGGGTTTGGGGTCTAGGGCCCTTGAAGCAAAGAGCGCAGGCACCGCCGGCGTGGGTCATGCAGATGATAGCGAGGCTGCCGCCTTCCATGCAGCAGCGAGTGCAGGACGCCTCAAAGGGGACACCCGGGTGGCACCCGAAACCTTAAAACCAGAACCTTTTCATGCAGATATTTTTGTATAGTATAACACCGTAAACCTTGAACCCTAAACCCGAAACCGCACCCCAACACCCCTTTTCTGATTCCAAAGGCGCAGGATTTAGCCGAAGCTGAACCTCCAGTTTCTGGCCTGGGTGCGCCAAGGTAGAAGCCTGACGAAGTAGGGTTTCGGGTTTAGGGAAATTGTTTAGGGTTTAGGGTTTAGGGATTTGGGGGTTTCGGGGTTTAGGGGTTTAGGCGTTTAGGGCTTAGGGTTTAGGGTAATTACCGACATTATTCGTGAGGGCTCCGTATGATAAGTACAGAAAAGTATACTCCAAACCCTAGTCCAATCATGAAGGTCCCTATAACAAGACCCTCAGCCTTACAGACACTGTAGTACAGCTTAAATCGCAATTCGACCCCGCCCCCCCATCCTGAATCTGCAGCCTGTCGTCCGTGTGCAGGGTTGTTTCTCGCAGGCCTTCCCACGCCTTGTGATATAGGGAGCTTGATAAACAGAAGAGTGCGTCAAAAAACTATAGGGTTTAGGGTTTAGGGTTTAGACACATTCTTTATGAAAAGACATGGGGTCATATGGAATGCTGTCGTGAACTATTCAGACCTATGTTCGCGGCGGAAGACCAAGTTGGGCCGTTTTGAGCCGACTCTTTGCAGGCATCTTCAGATCAACGTCCACAGCCTCAAAGCGTTAACCTCGAAGTCACGGGCTAAGTGCTGGTGGACCCCTGACTGAAAACACCCCCTACCTCAGAAGGGATTGTGGTGGTGATCCTCGTATTAAGGCCGTCAGGGCAAGGGAATGTATGAGTCAGGGGTATGCATTAAAGGGTTTTCCTGCTTCAGCCCTTCAGGATCAGTCTAGCTGCTCATCAAAGGTTTGTATCAGTCTTACAGAAGGTCGAAGTACACACTCCCCGGAAGGTCAAGCTTGGCTTTATTGTAATGTCACTGAGCACGGAGCGTGACAAAGCGTGCGACGACACGATTGCGGACTTCCTGGCGGCCAGATCATTACGCGTACAACCCGGTCCACGTAGCCGCCGATGGACATGCCCGGCGCCGACCACAGATCCTTTCAAAGTCGCGTGTAGCCACGTGTGAGGCATGGGCCAGACAACATAGTGATGTCGTTTCCACCGGCTTCTGCGTATACTGGGGGCTTGACCCAAAAGTCAAACATGCATACTCAAACATGCGAGAGTTTCAGCCATGCAACATACCTGCTGGCTCTGATTTTTGACAGGAGGTCCTCATGCGCGTCATGAAGGACCCGTTGTTGAGGTCCCGTTTAACTGGCGAGTGTAGAAATGAGGTGTCAGAGGCAGGGCTGTTTCGGATTTCAGATCTGGGATTGACCTGGGGTTTCGGATGTCATGTCCTGTTTAGGGTTCAGGTTTTGTGGCATTGGTTCTTGCACCGAGTCGCGTCGCACAACTAGTCTGGATCGACGCCAATGGTGTAAAACACCCACAAGCCCTGAACCCTAAACCCAGTACCCCGGTCTCTATTTTTGGTGCCTGATGCGATGGGATTCTCCTTGGAAGCAGGTGCCGTGAACGGCAAACCCTTCATGCTAGGAGCTATTGATAACTCAAAAAAAAAACCTTCCTTACTCCTTTACTTGAGGGCCTTATAGTAGGATGCCTACTATAATCCCTGTACAGGGGAGGAGGTTCATTAATCAGGGTCTGCATTGTTCATTATTCCCTTCCAATTCCCGTGGCCCCCTAAGCCCCCGAACTGTTATAGCTCCCTTTAAAGAAACCCTTGCAGAAACCTTGTTGCAATCATAAGGCCCTGTACTATTGCGGGCTTA